TCCTACCTTTCTTTAGGCTCAAGAAATCATCCCTTTTCCTATCCCTCAATGTCCGGGGGATATACTTCTCCATAAACAAGCTAGAGAATAAGGCCCAAGTCATAGGGGGTGCCTCTGTTGGTTGACACTCAACATGTGACCGCCACCACATTTTGGCGTTCCCTTGAAACTGATAACTCACAAACTCAACACCAAACCGTTCTACTATACCCATCTTTTGTAGTAGCTCATGACAGTCAACCAGAAAATCGTAAGCATCCTCAGATTCAGCACCCTTGAAGACTGGAGGTTTCAATTTCAAGAACTTACAGAAAAGTTCATGCTGATCATTTGTCATTATAGGCCCAGTAGTCAGACGTGGAAACGTGCCTATGTCCAATGAGGCATCCATACGAGGAGCCATAGTGGCTGCATGTTGTACCTCTGAAACCGGAGGTGTTGGTGCAGAAAACACTGGAGGTGCCTGACCCTGATCAGAAGACCCACTAAGATAAGCGAGCACCTGATTTATCATCTCTGGGGTAGGCTGGGGTGGCAATCCCTCATTCTACACTTGTTCATTTTCCCCATCCTCCCCTTCTCTTATTACTTCCTCAGTAGGTGGAGGAGTCACTGCCCTAGTATCAGATGGGCTAGGTGCTCGGCCTCTTCCCCTAGAGGACGTTCTCCCACTACCTCTACCACAGCCTCTTGCCGCTGCTCTTCCTCGAGCTACAGCACCAGTTGCTCGCTCAGTCGCACCCTGTCCCGCCGGTGCTGGTGTTGGTGTTGGCGTAGTCGTTGCTCTAGTTCTAACCATCTGCGAAAGAGAGTGAAGATGGTCAGATACCAATTTGTATCACCTAGATACCAATTGGATTCAAGTAGTAGCACGAAAGAAAGAAAGAAAGAATGGAATTTTCCTAAAGTCTTATAGCCTCTCAAAGAAAAGTAAAGGAGTCCCCCTACCATTCCTTAAGACTCTACTAGACTTGTTCTTGTGTGATGAGACCAACGAACCTAATGCTCTGATACCAAGTTTGTCACGACCCAAATCCGGGCCGCGACTGGCACCCACACTTACCCTCCTATGTGAGCGAACCAACAAATCTAAACCTTAACACTTCAATGTAATATCAACAGTAAATAATGCGGAAGACTCAAACTCATTAAATAAAACCAATCCATTAACTTTTAAAATTCAACATCTATTATTTCCCAAAATCTGGAAGTCATCATCACAAGAACATCTATGATCAAATTACTAGACTAAGAGTATTCTAAAAACTAAAACAAGTAAAAGCTAGTCCATGCCGGAAATTCAAGGCATCAAGACATGAGGAAGAAGATCCAGTCCAAGCTAGAAGCATTAGCTCAACCTGAAGATCCGATGTGACGAAGACAGGCTAGAGTTGCGGTTGAGTTGAAGACGATGGCAGGTTTGCTGCACTCCACAATTAACAAAGAAGAAAATATAAAAGTAGGGGTCAGTACAAAACACGGGTACTGAGTAGATATCATCGGCCAACTCAAAATAGAAAACAGTATATATTAAGCAGTATCATAAAATCAACTAATACCCTTAGCATGCAGCATTTACAGTTACCATAACCCTTGGTTACAACACCAAACACATCAATGAGGACTCACGCCTCCTCATCATACTCATTTGGGAATTCGGTTCATTAGTTTGAATATATTAACATCTTTCAAGATTCATTATCTTTATTCCCCTCGTGTCGATACGTGACACTCCGCTCGTCAATATACTATCCTGGTGTCAGAACGTGACACTCCGATCCTCATTCTATCCTGGTACCGGAACATGGCACCCGATCCATATTCTATCCTGGTACTGGAACGTGGCACCCGATCCATATACTATCCTGGTGTCGGAACGTGAGACTCCGATCCTCATATACTATCCTGGTACCGGAACGTGGCACCCGATCCATATTCTATCCTGGTGTTGGAACGTGACACTCTGATCCTCATATACTATCCTGGTACCGGAACGTGGCACCCGATCCCCTAATCTCACTACTTTCGTTCATCAAGCCTTCCTTTATACCAAGGCATCATCATTAACAAAGTAGATTAGGGTTATCTTTCAAGATTTAGGATTCAATTGCTTCATCATGCTTATTTTATCACAATCATATAATCACATTCATGCAAGCATACAATTAAGCATATTGAAGGGTTTACAATACTACCCATACATATCATTCGCTATTAAGAGTTTACTACGAATAGCATAAAAACCATAACCTACCTCCACCGAAGACTAGTGATCAAGCAAGAATTTCCCAAAGCCTTGTGTTTTTCCTCTTCGTTCGTCTCTCTCTATCGATTCTCCTTCCCTCTCTTTGTTCTTGCTATTTTCTTTATTCAAACCCTCTTTCTTTTACCCTAATTAGTATATAACTAAGAATAAAGATGGCAATAATAACCCACTAATTAACTTAAGGTTACCTCTTTTAACCCAAGCCACTAATTAACTTAAGGTTACCTCTTTTAACCCCCAAGTAATTAGACTTATTAACATTAACCCTCTAACTTTATAATTAACGTGGGAATAGTCTAAAACGTCCCTTAAAACGTATAAAGAAATCCGACCCAGACTGAAATTACGCAGTCTGTGATGGCCCGTCGCACCTGCGACGGGCCGTCCTGCTGCCCCGTCACAGAGTTCAGAGACTCAATTTCTCTGAAGAGTCTGTGACAGTCCGTCACACCTGTGACGGTCCGTCACACCTGTGACGGTCCGTCACACCTGGTGACGGTCCGTCACACCTGTGACGGTCCGTCACACCTGGTGACGGTCCGTCCTGCCATTCCGTTACGTAGTTCAGAGAGTCGATTTTCAGTACCCAATTTCAGATTTTCTAAGTGTTTTGAAACGAGACCCTGCGACGGTCCGTCGTGCCCATGACGGTCCATCGTGGGGTCCGTCGCCTCAGCCTGTTTTTCCAGAAATAAAATCTGCTGCTCAAAACGACTAAACAAGTCGTTACAGAATACAAATAGATAAAAATGGAATAATGATGCAAACACATATAGTACAAAAAATAATAACCTCAAATGAACAATTAGATACAAAAAAGAAATTACAATCCTTTTTAGGATTAGTTAACCAAGTAAGGGAATATACACTAAAATTAGCATAAAACTTAAAACCATTACAACAAAAACTAAAGAATGATGTAGAATACCTTTTTGAAAATAGAGATCAAACACAAATACAAAAGATATAATTATTCTGTACAACATTACCGAAATAATATTTTTCGGATTAGATAAAAAATTTAGTTATATAGTAGAAACTGATGCAAGTGAAAAGAGTTATGGAGGAGTATTTAAATATCAATAAGATAATAGTAATATAGAATATCACTGTAGATATTATTCAGGCACATATACAAATACAGAAACAAAATGGGAAATAAATAGGAAAGAATTATTTTCTGTATATAAATGTTTATTAGCATTTGAGCCATATATTGTATATAACAAATTTATTGTAAGAACAGATAATACACAAGTAAAATGGTGGTTAACCAGAAAAATACAAGATTCAGGTAACAACAAAAGAAATTAGAAGATTGGTATTAAATATATTAAACTTTACATTTACAATTGAAGTAATAAAGACTAACAAGAATGGTGTTGCAGACTATTTATCAAGACAAAACTACTCAGAATGAGAAAAAAAATGAAGATACAATCGACGAGCTACTCAAAGCCATTATTACACTTTGTACCAAAGTGGCCAGAATGGACAATGAGATACAAAAGCTAAAGACTAATGAAGATAACCTGAAGTCTAAAGCTAATATAAGTCAGCAGCATGATTAGAAAAATGCGGAGCTACGTCGATCGGAAGACGATAAAATTCCAGAGATAAAAAGACACGATGGGAAACTCCCTAAAATCCATAACGTTTGTTTAAATATTGTTGCAGGTACAAGCAGGAAAGTTAGTGAGAAATCACGAAATACAAACTTAAACCAGTTATTTATAAAACCATTTACCCAAAACACACAAAAACATATACCCACAGAACCACGAACTTCTACATACACAGTTAGTATACATAGTGATAAAAAAAGATACAATTATATCACACAATCATACATTGAAAACATATATAAGATCCAAAGATATTTAAATTTAAACCCTAGATCCACACAAACCAAAAACCCAAACGAAGATTATATAACCCAAAAACTACAAGGATATAATAGATTGATTGCACAACCTAAAACTAGTTTAAACTTAGTAAAAACATGTTACAATTATGGACTACTAAGTACAGTATATACATACGACGGAGAAGAAATTACTGGAATACCAGAGTTATACAAAGCATTTATCACATACAAAAGAGTTACAAGAGGAAACTTGTTTTATATCAAGTTTTATACAGCACCAGCAGAGATATTGTATGAAGAAATTAAGTCACCGATTAAAGTTATCAAGATAGGATTAACAAAAGATATGATCATACCAGAAGATATTGGACATCAAAACGAGATACCAAAAATAGAAATACCAAATTTTTATGTCAATAAAAGAATAATTGATATATCAACTATTATACAAGTGTTAGCACATAACTATTTAAATGGAAACGCTATATGGAGTTATTACGCTATAGATCAAATTATGATATATTCAAACTCCAGAGAGTTAAGAAGAGCATATATGGATAAAGTCCAGCGACGGATTTTGTCACTATTAAAACCACAAGAACAACCTACGACAAGAGCATTGAAAAAGGAATTTATTTAAGAAGAATTATTAACCAGATATTGCAAACTTATTGGACATAAATATCGAGATCACAGATGCTCCAAATGCAATGGAGAAGATAACATAACACCAGATGTTGATTTAGAATAAGGACAAGGAGATAAAGATGCAAGATAAGATAAGGATGAAGAAAAGAAAAACAGATATGCCAGACAATGAAAAAGTGACAAAAGAAAAAGACACATAAAGATAGAAAAGATGGCAGACAAAGAGATAAAAAATGTAAAAAGAAATAGATAAGATTCCTTTGTACAGTAAATAACTTTTGCTTTTTTGAAAGGGCAATGTGTATAGCCGGCCATTTGTAAAGTTTTGTTCAAAAGTCATAAGGTGTACAGTAGACGCACTTATGTGCAGACTTAGGATTTAGTATATATAGATTGCCAAATTGTAAATGAAAGGCAGGCAATGCCAAACTAAAGTTCAAGTTAATAAACCCTCTCTCAAAATACAAAGCTCTCTCAAATATACAAACTAAGAAAAACATATGAAAAAATTGGAAATACAATCAGGTATCTCAGCTAGCATGACAAATCAAGAGTTAAAGGTATATTGTTTATTAGATATACAGAACTAATTTCATATATTCCTGAATATCATATATATGATTGATTAAATTTATGTTAGTTATTATACACTAGAAATATTTGAATAATGAATTCTAGTTTGCTAGTAAACGGGAAACAGGGAGAAAACTGCTAGACCATGCCATCCCACAGTGGAAACCGGTAGGCGAGGGATGCCGTTAGAGGAGTACACAAGGTTGAGGCGCTGATAAGTAGTAATTATCCGCTAAAGTACGATGCTAGTAGTGACCGGAAAATATGATAACGATACTCTAGTTTATAATAAACTAATATGGATTTAATTAGATTATGATATGATAGGAAGGAATAACTGAAGAAAAACTTGCATAATAAAAATATGTTTACAAAGTACGATGAAATAAGAAGCTATAAAACTTTGATTTTATATATACTTAAAGATATATAAATTGATGACATAAAAAGAGTTATATGGGAAAAAATAATTGAATATGATTTAGAAGATATATTAAATCAAGAATGGTATGAAATAAATTTACAAGAATTAGAAATAGAAAGAATAGATATATACAATTTAGAAATAGATTTAGATTAAAAAGAACTATGACTATTTAGAATATTGAAAAGAAACTATGGAAAACATAAAATTATTAGAACGATTAATACAAGAGAATTTCAATATGTATCAAAGAACCCAAGATATATTATTTATAGAATATATAATAAACAACCTTGAAGAAACTATGCGCATTATATATGATTTCTATCCGATTTACATCTTGTTTATATTATATATTCTTGGCATAGTATATAATTAAATTTAAAAAAAACATTATAGTAAATGACGATTTTATAACAATTTTGTCTAGTAGTATGTAAAAGCTATTTACAAAGGACCAAAAAGACTAACAAGATTTTGCTAAAGCCTGAAGAATAATCTTGAGTAAAAGAAAAAGGGAACTTTTGGAAGAAATTGAGTCAAACCACAAAAGGTGATTAAGATGATTGAGGAAGCATAACGAACCTAGCTACCTATGGACAGGTGAAGCTACGATCTCTAGAAAGGCTTTAGTAGTTTGGGAGAAGATATGCTTTCGAAAAGGTGTTGGAGCTCTGGATTTCATTAATTCTCGTTTACTACGTAAAAGACCTAGATATATGATCACAATGGAGGTGGCCAAGCTTCGTGGATAGTAACAGAGATATTCAATATGAAAAATATTGGACAATGCTTATAAATCGTCATCAATTGATAAGAAGTGACATGTTTATGATAAAAAAATATACACAATGTTATGAAGGCAACTTATACATGTCCCCTGGAGAGGTATGGTACGTCACAATTAATGTGGCATGCCCCACACAAACTTTCATCCTATGGATAGCACTATTAGGAAGAACGAGGACCAAAGAATTGCTTTTAAAATGGAACATGACAGTGAATATCAAATGTGTATTTGTTAATCATAGTGAAACATTGTAATTCGTTATACCACATGTTCTTTGACTGTAATTACTCTCACTATACTTTGTATATGTCGTTGATGATTCATAAAATAGTCAGTTAATTACCAAAAAGAGAAAAAAAGGAATATGGAGAGCACTTAACAATTATATTAAGCCAAGTGATAAGATAATAAAAGAATAATATTACAAATTTAAAACATATGAGTCGTTGTCTTATAGGCGCAATGAAATGGAAAAACATATAAAAGCCCGGTGTAGATCATATGTAGCTTGCATATCATGTATTATTTATATGCTCTAATATGCATGAAGTTGTACCGATATTATATAAAAATCAAATATGAAAAGGATATTTAAATACAAATGTCCACACCTTCTGCAGGTGTAGTAAAAGAGGAAAGATTCAAATGTTTGAGGTTTCATTACTACAACCAAACAAAGATTAAATACAATACGGTTTGTGTATTGAAGTTAATCGACCACGGTCAATAATGTGTCCAAATGTCCTTAAATTAATTTTTTGAATATTCCAATAAGTTAGAGACATATTTTTAGCTGTGTAATTCAAGTTTTGAATGGCAAATTGGGAATTTCAATCTCAAAATTAACAATAATGGATAATTTCATTTTTAATGTAGATCCGTTGACAAACATCAATGAAATTTGATATTTGAGACGTCATGAGAAATCTAATATAGAAGAACGAGTAGTGGGTGTTTCCCAATCGTGAATCAAGGATCGCTATTTCAATTATTCAGTGAGCTACTTGGTGGATCCACAACTCTTTGCTTCTTCAATTTAATAGACATTAGGAACACCTGATATTGAAGTTTCCTGGTAATCCAACAAATAAAATATGAAGAAGGTCGATCAACACTAGAATAATCAAATATTGACTCTTTGTTAACTGTTGATGCCTCTTTGGACTTCATGGAATTCATATACTCGAAAATTACGATAAAATAAAAGGAGAAGAGGAGATTGGAAATTAGAATTATCTAGCTAGGTAGGATGATAATATAAATAAAGTTTATCACGATGCGTGTAAGGGAAAGGACATTTGTTTAATTTGGTATTATATTAACTTAACCAAGAGTAGGTAATTTGGTATAAAAAATTACTCTATGTCTTCCTACTTGAGGTAGCTTTCAATATATGTTTGCTTCTAAAAATTGAATTATTCTTTTTTATAATTTAATATAAACCAAGAGTAGGTAATTTGGTATAAAAAATTACTCTATGTCTTCCTACTTGAGGTAGATTTCCATAAATGTTTGCTTCTAAAAGTTGAATTATTCTTTTTTATAATTTAATAAAATCAAATGTTCTCCTCAAAGGAAAATGTTAAGATAAATTTCCCATTCTTAACGACCAATATATCGGAGACTAAGCTTCCCCTTCTTGCTAAATCTCCTATCACTCTTCGTGGATGAAACCTTCAAGTACACCAATCATCCACCTCAAACTCCAAGTCTCTTCTCCTAACATAAGTGTCGAATTTCTGACGATTTTGCGTTGTTCTCAACCTTTCTTGAATGATCTTCACTTTCTCCATAGCTTGGTGAACTATCATTGCTTCGATCAACCCACCTTCACCAACCTCGAATCATTCAAATAATCTGAACATTATGCACCAAAGTAAAAAGGAATAAGAAGACACATAAACTTATATTTGTTTATTAAAACATTAATATATATATATATATATATATATATATATATATATATATATATATATGTTACACACTTATTTGTTGACTATAGGGAGGTACAATCTTATCAGGAGTCGGGGGATTTCGGAAGACATACCACAGTGTCATTATTTTGAAATGTAATTTTTAAATATAAATTGGAGTGACATACAATTATGATGACTACATAATAATAATAATGTAATACAAATTTGTTGCCTTTAAAATTGAGAGTGAAACTCATCACTACCTCGTAAGGGCGTTGAGACCATAGCATGTTACACGAAAGCGCCGCTTTCTCTGTATTGTTGTCACACAGCTGCCCGCCTAGAAGAGAGCTTACGACCACTGAACAAACTTGGTTGACGAACATAGTTTATGCGCCGCTAATGTAGCAGCTTGTCGAGCATTTGACAAACTCACAACCTCCGCACTCCGGCGCTCCACTGAACAACAGTTCTCCGCCTTACTATATTTAGAATAGTGGTCGATCCTTCGGGAGTTACATTCGTAACAACATTACAAATTGAGCACAATAAATACTCATTCAAATCGAAAAGTTAGTCCATACAATACAAAACATGATTGTATATCATTAGGAAGAATACAAATTCAAATCTAAATGCAAACTAGGTTGTATAAAAAGAGATATTTAAAATACGTAACAAGCCAAATAAAATACAAAATCTATTTTACTAATGCAACTAGGATGAATAACTATGTAATGAATACGTAAATAAACTGTATTTTGGTTATTTAGAATTGAAAAATCAATACAAAATCAAATCTAAACACACACTATCTGCTATACAAAGTGATATAAAAATACAAAATGAGCAAAATAAAATACAAAATGTGTTTTATTAATGCAATTGGATGACTACTTATATAATGAATGCATAAATAAATCGTTTTTGTTATTTAGAATTGAGAATGAATACAAAAATAAATAGAAATAAAAAAACTTGGTGGTACACCATTAGAATGAATACGAAATTAAATCAAACAATTATTGTAAATACAAAATAAGAAAAATAAATTAAAAACCTCTTTTTACCTATGCAATATGATTAATACCTAAATAATGAATACATAAATACAATATATTTTTGTTATTTAGAATTGAGAATAACGGAAAGTTAAGAACTTCAATCCTACAATTGATACATAAAGTTCCATGGATCCAAGAAAAGTCTTCAAAACCAACCTTAGAGCATGGTCAGGTATCTTGAACCCCATAGTGAAACCGTCCGAGTCCGATAAGAAGAGAGTTGTGAAGCAGTTCCAACTCCTGATCAGACACAAGGGAAACAAAAATTGGATATTATAACCCAATTTGCAGAAAAAATTGCCAGATGTTGAAATCGTACAAGTGGGAAAAAATTCTTAAAGAAATATAAGAGATAAAATTAGTGGGAAAATAGAGAGAGTGGAGAGATTTGAGGTAAGAACCTAGAGAGAATATTAAAATATGGGGTCTGTTTTTTCATTTATTTAGTTAGGATAATCTTGGAGAGACAATGGTGCTACTTGTCAGATAGGCTCCCCCACCAATGCTTAGGTACTAAAATATGAAACACAGGATCAATTTTGGCCTCGACAGGAAGCTCCAATTTATATGCCCCATCTCTAATACGTGTGATGTACTTGAAATGACAAAACTATCGCAGTCCAAGCTTAACCCCTATGATGCCACATAGAAAGTTGTTGGTACGGTTTCAGTTTTACAAAATCCCAATCTCACTGCAAACACTAGTTCAATAAAATGTTTATCTTCATACATGATCGTACTTGATTGAAATTGAGAAAATTATTTTTCAAAAATGCTAGAATTATATCACGCCAAATGAAGTAGGCCTCCACCAATTAACAATCATTGCTTCCCTATATATATTGAGCGATAGTTGGGGGTTTTCACCCATACAACCCCTGAAACTGTGTCATTCAAGATGACATTTCGTACGAATTATTGTACCAGAATTCATCCCAAAGCACCATGGTTACCCACTTAGTTAAAGAATCAGCAACATAACAACGAAGATATTGTTCAAGACACTTATTTATGGCTTCGGACTGTCCATTAGTTTGGGAATGATATGAAGGACTCATAGCCAATTTTGAACCCTACAAATCATTTATTGTTGTCAAAAAAGAATGGAAGAATTGTGGGTCTCGATCAGTGACAGTAGAGCAAGGATTGTCATGAATGCGAATTACACCTACTATGAATGCTTCAGCGGTAGTAGTCGATTGTAGGGATTATATGCCTTTGTTGCTAGGGCTTTTGGGGCGAAGCCATTGTGAAGATGATTGTGATGATGTTTCCTTTTTCTTATACACTTAGACATGAACATGATTAGGAGAAAAAAGTTCTTTCACTTAAATGGATTGTAGGTTGACCTAACAACCTAAATGAATCAAGACATGAAAAGACTAAGACTAGCTTGAAGATGGACCTTATGGTTATATCTTGCGTTTTTTACTTGGTAAGATAAGACCAAGGTGTAGTATCTTGAGGTTGAGCATGGCTCCTTCATGGTAGCTTGAGGTGATGAATCTCATGGTAGCTCTGGAAGGAGGAAGTAAGTTCTCCCATGTGTATCTTGGTCATGTGTTGCAAGGATGCATGTTCATAGTAGCTTGAGAATGATGGTTCTCATGGTGGCTTGTGATTTAGTTATGAAACTCTCCTAAGTATAACTTTAAGTATCATGAATAGAGTGCCTTCATGATAATTTTACTTGGCTTCGACCAAGCCATATCATGGTAGCTTTAGGAGAAATGTATGTACTCTCCTAATGGTAGCATGATTTGCATGTAAGGTGCATTTCATGAAATATTTTGGGATTAGTTTCTCATTGTAGCTTAGGGTTGAGGATTTATTATCTCCTATGGATTAGCTTGCATCTACATGATTTGTTGCATGGTGGTTAGGATGATTGTATCTTCCTTAATTAGCTTGGTAAGTATGATGGTGTGCTTTCCATGGTAGTAGGTCTATTATGGTATTGTGATGATCTTTGTAGACAAGGTTGCGAAATAAGTTATCTTGGATTAGGTTAGTCGATATAAGTACTTATTATGGATGGTAGTATGAGATGCTATATATATATATATATATATATATATATATATGTATATATATACATATATATACATATATATATATATACATATATATATGTATGTATGTATATATATATATATATATGTACGTATGTATGTATGTATATAAATATATATATATATATATGTATGTGTGTGTATATATATATATATATGTATATATATATATGTATATATGTATGTGTATATATATATATATACATACATATATACATATATACATACATAC